ATGTCTGATGTCTACATTCCTTCACTCTTTCCCTTTAAGATTTCAATGAGGCACTTCCTTATGGTGTTGCCACGTGCACAAAGGCCACAATTCTGACTATGGAAACTGCTGCATTCAACTAACTATTCTCTTCAGCCATCTTATGTTAGCTAAAACAACAGTCGGCCATTTTATGTTACCTTCAGCTTGCGCAGCTCCAACATATACAATGAATATTTTGGGAAAAATAAAGTTCCCTGCTACTTACCTAAATGGTACCTAACTTGTACTATTTTATTTAATTAAAAGTATTTCAAATTAAAACATTAGTTGTTGCTATAAAGATGACAGATTCCACAAAAAAAACTTGCAAATTGAGTACTTTGTCTGCCCAGTGGTGGTTATAATATTCTAACTATAATGAATTAGCATATAGATATGTAGTTTACATTTTCTACAACTTCTTTCAAAAGAATGAGAGCTCACTTCTAGGATCAATCAACAGTGGCACATGATGAGACTTAATAACATTCATGTTTATTACATTAATTGAATTTTCCCTAGTCAGTGGAAGTGTTAGTTGAAAAATTCAATGCTTTTCTTACATTTTTATTTAGAAACCAAACATCAGTTGAAACAGATCAACATTTTTGAAGTGCAATACTACTTTAGCTGAAGTATACTGTTTAAAAAAAAATGCATAAAATCTTAGTATAAACCATTAACCTTTGTGCTCCCACAAGCGTGTCCCTTTATTTCATATCACCCAATCAACATGTCCTTTCCCTATCTTCATTATGAACTGAACATTAAAACATCAATGCTATTTACATCAACTGCTCCTTGTGGTTTTCTGAAAAAAAATTCTGGTCAATGCAGGGGAGGAGAAAATGTAAGGAAAATGGAAAACATACATGATGTACCCAGTTTCTGAAGTTGTTAAATGCAATTTTGAGACATCATGGGTATCAGGTGCCCAAGTGGAACAACAGGTGTTGTTCCTTGAGCTTATGTTGTGCTTCCTTGGAGCATGGAGCATTCAGGCCCAGGACAGAAAAGTTAGCATAAGAGCAAGGTGGTTTATTGGAACTGAGAGGTTAGAGTCATGTCCAGTCATTCCTATGGACCTAGCTTAGATGTTCCGTAAAGCAGTTACCTAGTTTGTTTTTAGTTTCAACAGTGTAAAGGAGACTGCATTGTAGGCAGTGAATGCAGTCGACTAGGATGAAAGTAGTGCAAGCAAAACACTGCTTCATCTGGAAGGTGTGTTTGTGTCCTAGGACAGTGAGGAGGGAGCAAGCAAATCAGAAGGTGCCATGAGGAGTGAGAAAGCATTAGAATGTTGGAGGACTGGACGAGGGTATCATGGAGGAAATGCAGAAGCCTGATAATGGGAGGGAAAGCGGTGTTTGGTAGTGGCATCCTGCTGAAGGTGCAGGAAATGTTGGAGGATGATCATTTGAGTGCAGAGACTATTGCAGTGAAAAGTAAGAGAATGGAGAATCCTATCATTCTGGAATGGGGTGAAGGGGTGCCAACAGAAGTGCAGGAAATGGGTCGGGCAAGGTTGAAGCTCTGTCAGCCACTAGGGGAGAATCCTTGGTCGAGAAAACAATTGATAAAGGAGGTAGCCCGATGGGAGGTGGTGTCATTAGAACAGAATAAGGTGGAGAAACTCGGAATGGACTGGAATCCTTGCAGGAAGCAGGATGAGGGTTGAAGTAACTCCATCCCTTCCGCCCTCCTCCTCCCATCACCACCTTGTTTAATTTGTGCCTTGTTTATGTTGCATTTAGAAGAGAGGAACAATTCTCTCCCTTTCACATCTTAATTTACACCCATTTTCATTTTTTCCCATTATTAACAGCCCCTTTGTCTTTTGCACTGGGGCTCTACCTCTGTCAGAAGTATACAGAAACTTATTTTTCAACCATGTTTTAGTTCTGAAGAAGAGTCGCCCCAAATTCAAAAAGTTAAGAGATAGTAGGAACTGCAGATGCTGGAGAATCTGAGATAACAAGGTGTAGAGCTGGATGAACACAGCAGGCCAAGCAGCGTCAGAGGAACAGGAAAGCTGACGTTTCGGGCCTAGATCCTTCTTCATTTTTTCTGAAGAAGGGTCTAGGCCCGAAACGTCAGCTTTCCTGTTCCTCTGACGCTGCTTGGCCTTCAAAAAGTTAACTGTTTCTCTCTCCATAGATGCTGCCAGACCTGCTGAGTCTGTCCAGCATTCTCTATTTCCTTCCTTCAAATCTACTTAGTCTTGGCAGGCTTTTGTCAGCTGAACCAGATAAACAAGCACCTATGCAAAACAGCCCCAGCAGGTTTCACAAGAAAGCAAGCAGTTATCACGAGTCATATGATTTCAAGGAAGCCTTCAAAATATAAGCCCTCCAAAGCAAGATGAAGTAAAACAATTTTCATAACAATCACTGATACTGAGGCCTATTTAATCACCTACTCTTGAAACTTTCTTGTGTTCTTCTAGGTCACTGGGTTATAGGTCCACTGTATTTCAAACACCAATAATTGCACTCATAATTCTAGCCTCTTCAGCATCCCAAATTTTAATTGCTGCATTGTTGGTGGCTGTGTCGACAGCTGCCTACATTCTAAGTTCTATAATCGTCTACCAAAACCTCTCCACCTCTGCATCCATTTCCTGTTCCAAGATGCCCCTCCCTAATGCTTTCTGAAATCTACCTCTTTGGCGAAGGTTTAGACCATCTATGCCAACGTAGGCTTATACCAAGTTATTTAACACTGTTTATAATGCTTTTGTAAAAGATAAGAGTTATTTTATTGCATTTTAAGGCATTGTATCAATGCAAGTTGTTGTTCTAGTATGCCTCTGAATTAGCACTGATTTGAAGCCAGGACCAAGCTAGGCACTGTTTTCTTTGTGGAGATGTTCTTAAGTGCACATCCACTGTGTAAATAATATCACTAAACAGCATAGCAAGGAAAGAATGACCAAAATCAAATGCACCTCAGCTGCTAAGAAGAAATGATTTTTTAAGCATATGTTTTGAAAAATATAAAATGTCAATTTGATGAATATTTCAGTCAGATCTCTAGATCCAATTGGAGATATCAGGATCAATGTAAATAAAGTAGTAGGGAGAAACCCCAATGGCTGAACAGGTTGGAAGGCTGAGAGACAACGGATCCACAGACTGGACTCCTCAGAATAGTAATTCTGCCTATTGGCCCGACAGTGACCACTGCTCCCATCGAATTGGCCAGCAACTGTCTGAGGTAGGACTTCCCATGAAGATAAGCGAGGAATTCCCCCCCAAAACAATTAATGTTGCTGCCAGCATCAGATTTCTGCATGACAGCTATTGGCATTGTGGGCAGGCCTCTCTGACTTTTTAGTCGTGAGGCAGGGATCATGGTGACCATAAAATCCAAATAATTGTTTCTATATCAGCAAGCTTAGAATACTCAAACAAAGAAAAAGACCCCATTTAATCGATATTTTTCTGAGCGTTTTCACATCTAATCATGCTCTCCTGTTTGCTGTATATGTCCTTTAATATTATTCCGTTTCATGTATTTAATCAAATTATTTCATCAAATTAATTCTAAAAAGATTTGATTCAGCAATAATTTGAGACTTGTGTTAGGATCTGCTATTTTTAAATTTGTACATCTTGCCTATGAATGGATGTAGTCCATTGTGGTTTCTTAAAACCCTTCCTTTATTTATCTTGAAAACATCCTGCAATCCCAATGAACAGAAATCTTAAGTGAGCATCACGTTGTAATTGTAATCCCTTATCCCTGATATAAGTATAAATAAATTTATACTATTTTTCTGCATTGCCTATATATTCTTACTATAATAAGGTGCCCAAACTTGTATAGTGTTCCATTTGTGGCCCAAACAAGGTTCTATAAAAGTATGACATTATTCCCTTGTGTTTTATGTTCTATGTTATATGACTTTGGATGTAATACTAAGGCTTCCATTTCTTGTGACTTTGTTTACATGGGTTAGTACTTCCTAAATGATCTGTGGCTCTGTGACACCAAGATCCCTTTGTATGTCTGCTGTATCTTTTTTCCCAATTTTCAAAATGTTAAGTAAATATTAAGTGTTACTAAGCATCAGCATCTACTGCCTGCCTATGTCCATGTTGGCGAATAGAAATATTTGATGATCTGGTGTTACCTATCATATTTGTGTTTATGGATATGTATTAATTTTCATCATAATAACTATTTCTGTGACTTATAATACCATGTACAAAATAATTTGCTGCATAACAGATTTTGAGATCAAGTGCTGCCTTAGTTTTGAAATGTCTATTTAACACCCTGTCTATCACTCAAATTTAATAAATCATCCAATTGCTGAGCTTCAGTTTTAAGAAGAATAACTCTCTATAATTTGACTCAGTCCTTTTGTTCCAGATCTATGACCACTGTCTTTACAAGGCCAGAGTAAACATACAGTCTCTTGTCTGAACTTATCACTGCCTAACTGGAATCCTTTACAGTTAACTGTACTTTGCGAACAAGAATTCACTAACAGCTGAAATTAAAAATATAACAAAAGTCTTACTGGAAAATATGTCCAGCATTATGTTCTATGGTAGATTCAGTTTTCCAAATGGCTTTATTATTTTGATAATATGTCAGTTACTGTGATATGTTAGAGTATATCAGAGGAAAAAGGTACATAATTTTAGGAAGATAAGTTATGTAAAACATAGACTTCTTTTAAACTTGTATTGATAATAACAGATGTAATACTGAAATCTTTCAGCTGACAAGTTCTTTGTCATTTTGTGGCTATCTTGAATTTATTTTTTGAATTTCTGCATCTGTTGGGGTAAAGGTTAACCAGAGAATAGAGCTCTTTGCCACTTTTAGTACCTACTGTAAGATTTAAATATTACTTCACTGGCAAACACACTCTACCTGTTCAAAGGCATTTCATTATTGAGATAATGAAACACTTCACATTTTCACTTCAAAGGCTGTAAACAAAAATTGTTTTGTTTTAATCACAGGTGAATGCAGTCAGTCTTGAGGGTGCTCTGCAAGAAAACCAAAGCTATAAAACAATATCAAGAAGCTACAAGCATCTTGCTATACCAGAATGAGTTCTAAGTCTATGTATTGTGCTCAATTGTGTTGAGTTACTGTAAAGTAATTTTGTAGCTGTACTGTCTTGAAAAATGCACTATTTTAATAAGATAAAGCTTTTGTTTCTGATAATAGATGTAAATGAAAATTAAGAATGTATTTTTGTAATTTCTTGCTAAAACTGATAATTATATCATCTTTTCTTAAGGCTAAAAAACCAGATGAATTCTTCACATTTCTTTTATACATGTGAACACTAGTCTGAGTTTAGATGGAAATAATCTTGGAGTTAGAATTTCTGCTTGAAAAAGAAAATCAGATCTGTATTTTCTGAGTTAGACTCCAGCCCCTTTTAAAATTAGAATCAGACTCATAGAATGATCATACTCTAGTCGTGGGAATTGTGGGGGAAAAAAATTGGTGACTAGAAGTAATAACACTTCCTCAGGGCGATGTAAATTATTACTGTGGCTTGTAGCCCTAATAGAAGGTATTGGTATTTTACAGAAATTTGTTTAAAATGATTTTTCTATAGTGTTAATATTGTAGACACTGTGTGTATTATATTAAGATTAACTATTAGCATATGTTTTGTACAAAATAAACACAAGTTTACAAACTATCTGAAGAGAATTCCTGTAATTTGTTTTATACATTTCTTTCCATTTTTTTCAAAGCAGAATAGGAATTTGAGAAATTTGAAAGAATGATTGCTTAATGTTGATCAATGCTTTGCAATTAAATTTCTATAATAATTTACACCCTTTTTGACAAATGATGATCTTTACAATCTAAGTTAAAGGATTTTTGAGCAGGAGCACCATTTCAGAACATGTTTCAAAGTTGTATCTTGAGTTCTTTGCCCGAAGGCAAGCCTGACCCACTGCGTAACAATCTCCACCACAGGCAGAGAAAGGACATAGGTCCCTTAGCTGGAACAGGGATCAAACAACGCCCGCCCCCTCGCCCCACTGCAAGCACCGATTTGACCCACATTGGCCATCCAGCCAAGGAGTGAAATGCTTTGGCAATAACAACATGTTGCTCAGAGTTATGGATAGTGTTGGCAGAAGCTCTAAGTTATTCCCATCACCTGGCTGACCTGAAATGCTTTCCATTCTTGCTGCCTGCCATTGGTTGGAAGGACTTTGGAAGTTGATGCTCAACCTTTTTGGCCACATTATGACTGACTGTACCTTCCTTGACCATCAAATCCCCAGAGTGAGACTTGAACCATGACTTGCAAACTCAGAGGCAGGAATGCTACCCACTGCTCCACAAGCCTCCTAATATCAGCTGCTATTGTTTTTTTAATAGAATGCTGACAAATATGACTTGAAAATTAAAGCCACACCTGTTACTTGTATGCTCTACATTCCATGGGTGTCTGAGTCCAGGTTACTAATGAGAACGTATTTGAGTCTTTGATTTTATTTTTCATAAAGTCTTTCTTCACTTACTCTTAGAAGAACAGTTTTCTAGCTTCAAGACCAGTTCCAATGCTACCACTTGTAAGGTCACACATGAAATCTGCTTCATCTAAGTGCCAAGAGCTCGGAAACTGTGATTATTTAAAATAAGAGCAACTATAACCACTTAGTATAAGTCCAGAGAAATTCAATGATTTCAGTGGTTTGGTACATTTTTCCCAAATATCCTCATTCACCTGGTGTTGTGAGATCTTCACACCAATAGTTAAGATATAGCTGTAGAGCTTGTAATAATTTGCTACTATCAGTTACCTGTTCAAATGGTAGATCTGTTAAAGTGCTTCCTAGTCTAGATTACTCCTCTGCTTCACCTCCACCATCAGCCTGTATATTAAGAATCCAGTTCAAAGCCACTATTTTTCTGGATCGTTGGGTAGTGACAGCAACACATTGTGTGGCATTTAAATTATACCTCTATATGCCACTTAAACCTCCCAGAGCTCTCAAAGCTGTTGTTCCAGTTAAGCACAACTCTTGAACTTAGGCTAGTATTGTTTAATGAAGTCATGACCACTTTTATAATGGAATAGATCCACCAGATCTGGAGCAAACAGGTTTCCACTTCTATCTCTTTGTCATTAACTGACAGTTCTTTACTTAAAGAAGAAATTCACTTTTTTTAAATGGCACTTTTGTTCACCCAACTAACTAATTACCTGCATAATCTGTGTTTTATAGCTGTAACAGTGAGCTCATCCCTAATGTAATTTTACCTATCCGTGCAGCTAATGTGTCAAATTTATTTTCTCTGATTCCATATCCAAGACAAGAAGGTTATTGCCACTACTTGTCTTTGGACTTAGTTAGCTGCCGTGATGTTTGCCAATTGCTGTTCTGTTGTCAGAGCCTCGTCAAACAGGTGTTTACTTGTCTTTTCAACAGTTAGCCCTCTGGACTTTTTCATTACGTGAAAGGGTACAAATGGAAGCTTTTACAGGATCTGATGTTCATTAGAAGGATATATTAAAATACTATGCCATTGACTTGACAGAGCATTTCTTATGCCCCTAAGAATGCTTGTATTGTATAATTACCTGAGAATTCAGAAACAAAATCAATTTTGTTTCAAAAGCAGAGCCAGTCATGATTTTTTTTTAAAAAAAGTTCTGATTGATGCTAGTCATTCTTTCTGATACAATGCTTCACCCACCAAAATTCTAATGCCCAGACTGGGGACATGATGCCACATTTGAAGTTAATACACTTGTAAAGAATCACCATAACTTCTTTGCTTTTGCACTCCATTCCTCCATCAATAAAGCCCAGGATCCTGCATGCCTTATTAACCACTTTGTCAAGCAGCAGTGACAATTTCAAAGGTTTGTGTATGGATAGATTCAAGTCCTTCTGTCATTCACCGCCTTTCAAATTCAGCATTAGACTTTATTGTAAGAGTGGCTGTTGAGTAGTCTTGATTGACTTTTTTTTTGTTTTTTTCCAGGCCACATAGTCTTTTTAGATGAATAAGAATAAGTTCTGATCCCATTGCTGTATCAGAGCGACTTGGGATGACTCCTTCCCAGAGTCTGTTCCCAATACATTCGAGTTGGTGGCCTAGAACATTATGCACCTATGTGGTTTGATACGAATGTGCAAATGACCTCTGAAGCCAATGAAATTGTGGTTTTTTAACTGTGTTTCCCAACTCATTCACCGTGTCCTATTATCGTCACCTCAGCCCCTGAATTCCTTTTGGCAGTGTAATATTAGCAAGTAGTCACTGATTGTCTTAAAGCTTCTATCCTCACTCTATTAATTTCTAGGTCAGAGGAGCAACAATGGAAACAAAATGCTGGAGAAACTCTCAAATCTGGGAGCATCCATGGGGAAAGAAGCAGCGTTAATGTTTCAAGTCCAAAGACTACTACAGAACTGTTCCAAAGAGGAGTCTTAGGACCCAATATTAACTGGATCCTGTCAGGTCTGCTGAGCTTCTCCAGCATTTCTCGTTTTTCTTTCAGATTTTTAGCATCCACAACATTTTGCTTTTACTAAAGGGTGCAGCAAATTCTGTTACCATTCTCAGGCTAGAATGTTGGAATCTGAGTCACTCTGAACCCTAATAAATTGTTCACTACTAAAAATGTATTTAGTCCATAGAATAGTTAAATTGTTGTGACATTCCTCATGATTATAAGTTTCAAACACTTGGGTGACGTGAATTTGAACGCAACATTCTAATTCTGTGTACTTGCATGTGGTGCTCCACCTAGTGGTGGTCACAAACACAGCCTTTTATTTCAACTCGCTGTGATGCCAAGACGTTCTGTTGCAACATTAGTGGTGTAATATTTAGACTAGTCTTGTCCTGTTTAGAAGTCTTTACTGACTTTGATATCACAAGCTGAACTGAAATCCAAACAGCAGTCCATACTTGGTAGCTATTGTATAGATTTCAGTTATTTAGCATGTCTTGTCCTTTCTAAATGCTTAATTAATATCAGTGTTAGAGTTAGCTTTAAAGTTGACATTCCTATTTAAAAAGCTTAGTAGGCAACAGATTCTATCCCATTTTAAAAAAAAGCCTGTCTGTGCAAGGATGATTATTCACCTTATTTTGTGTGGAAAATCTCTTCATTGTGTGATGAAGATTGTTAACCAGCCAGAATCCTAAATATTTGGTGCCTTTGACTAACTTCACTGAAAACAAAATTTGCAGAGCTTTCTCTGTGCAAATTGGTTGCAATGTTTCCTTCAAAACAACAGTTACTGCATTTCAAAAAGTACTTCGTTGTTTGAAAAGCCGTGGGTCGCGAAAGGTGCTTTGAGTACAAGTCAGTGAATTTCTTGGTCCACGTCCATAGATCCCTCAAAGTTGCCAACCAAGTTGATAGGGACATTAAGAAGGCGTATGGTGTGTTGGCTGGCATTTGCAGGGGAATTGAGTTTAAGAGCTGCGAGGTTATGCTGCAGCTCTATAAAACCCTGATTAGACCACACTTGGAATATTGTGTTCAGTTCTGGTCCCTCATTTATAGGAAGCATGTGGAAGCTTAAGAGAGGGCGCAGAGGAGATTTACCAGGATGCTGCCTGGACTGGAGGGCAGGTCTTATGAGGTAAGGTTGAGGGAGCTAGAGATTTTCTCACTGGAGCGAAGAAGGATGAGAGGTGACTTGATAGAGGTATACAAGATGATGAGAGGCGTAGATAGTGGCTAGCCAGAGACTTTTTCCCAGGGCAAAAATGACTATCATGAGGGGGCATAATTTTAAGGGGATTGGAGGAAGGTATAGGGGAGATGTCAGAGGTAGGTTCTTTACACAGAGTGTGGTCGGAGCATGGAATGCACTGCCAGCGGTGATGATAGAGTCAGATACATTAGGGACATTTGAGCAACTCTTGGCACTTGGATGATAGTAAAATGAAGGGTATGCAGGTTAGTTTTGATCTTCGAGTAGGATAATAGGTCAGCACAACATCGTGAGCCGAAGGGCCTATACTGTGCCGTACTGTTCGATGTTCTATGTTCTATATTCTTCCCAAGAAGCCACTTTGGTTGCTATTGTTTCTTAAATTTGTCAACGAAGGCTATACATCTCAGCCCCTAAAGCAAAAATATACACCAATGTGTGAACATATTTTTTCAGCTCTTAATCTGGGCTTCTAGCTGAATGTTATGGTAGAATTTGGGGAAATTTTTTTTTTGTGCTGGCTCATTGTTAAAGATAGGTTGAGCTTTATATTTATTTTTTGGCCTCTTTCAAACCAGACTGGTTATTTTCTCAACTAAAATATTTGTAGCACAATTACTGAACATATTTTTAACTTTTAAAGCTGTAAGATTGCAACTAGCTATTGAAAAATATTCAGAGTAGGTTAGCATTAGTTTAAATTCTGTATTACTCATTGGTAACATTTATGTAAATGTTAACACTGCCAGTGGATTGTTGGCCTTGGTGGGAATTTTTTTCAGCATTAAAAGCAGCATATTTAAATATTGTGCTGTCTACACAATATGGTTTTTGTAAAACTTCTATTACTGTATACAGCATTTGGAGAAATGTATTAAACTAAACACTTGGTTAATAAATCAAATATTTGAGACATTTGTAGCATTTGTGAAAATTTTGCTTTTTTATAAATACCACGTGTATTTGGATGAGTCTGTGGATGCTGTATCAACTGTTTAAA